TATTCTTCTTCTTCTTTTATATTTTCTTCTCCTTCCTCTTCTAGTACTTGGATCTCAAAGCCGTGATGTAACTGAATCTATTATTTTTTATTAGGTAAGGAGATTTCTTTGATCAATGGGATGCGGTTGAAGTTAGTCTCTTCATTTGGAGGGGGTGGCGATCCATTGGAGGATTCTCCAAGGTGTAGACCATTGGGAGGGGCGTTATTATGGGTCTTCTTTGGAATCCATCTCTGATGTTAATTATAGGATAAGGGGCAGATCTCCAGTAAGCCATAGCAGATGTCACGCCCAAATGAGTTCTTCTTTATTCTTTTTTGTGAGGCTTTGGCCTCCATATTTCTTTTCCTTTTCGTAGGGACATTTCAGCGGTGGATCCCTGAACCTAAGGTTCAAGTGTCACACCCCAATGCTCACCATGCGGGACTTATTTTCTTTTTTTTTTCTCCATCGTAATAGATAAGCATTCTCGTGATGGATTTCTGCTAGTCTCGACCATCAGTTGTCATTGGTATCTTCTCTTCTTTAGTCCTCTATCTTTCACAGTCTTCAAGACCTTGTGGACTTGGGCCGAGAGAGTTTCAGGCTCTTTCTTCTTCCGAGGAGCAAGAACTTTAGGCTGTTGGTCCTAAAATTATTTTTTTAGCTCACCAGTGGAGTTGTCTCTCTTCTCCCATTTTTAATTCATGAATCCATTCCGGATAGGAATGGATGCTTCTAGCTCCCAGGCCGATAGATTAAATGGAATATTGGTAGCAGTTGTTGTTGGGCTCGTGGCTCAATATTCCTATTTCTCCTTTACCTTCTTGTGAGCCTTCCTCCAGATTAGGAAACCTCAACATCATTCTTCCCGAGTGCAGGAAATTCGGTTGGCAGGTATATAATATTTGTAGTCACCAATAAAATTCTTCCATCAGCTAAAATCCTCTTGGTGGTTGGGGCCTCAGATTGAGAAAGTCGTTCAAATATAGTGAACCTTCTATGAGGATTTTTAACAGTAGGTCATGGCGCTGGTAGATTCATATAATGTGTGGCAACTTCAATAGTGTGGGTCCTCTTGGCATGACTTTTAAGGTTCGTGTAGGGAAGTCGAGACTACCAAATTGGATGGAAGTTCCAGTCTTCCCAATCTCGATGATAGCATTTGCCAGTTGGATCCTAATATCTTATCCTAGCTGGAAAGTCATTGAAGTATTTTGTAGATCCATCTACATGAATGAAAGGTAAGGGTTAGTAATCAGAGCCTGATACATAATCTCATACTTTCAAAATGTAGAGACTTGCATAAAATAAGGAATAAATAAATAAATAATATCAAATGATTAAAATAATATAAATTCAAAAATCCTGCTAAATGCCATATGAATTGGTTGAATGATCATTTTATAAGATTCAAAGTTTTTCATTCATTAAATGATCATATTAAAAGATTCAAAATCATGAATATAGGTTAAAATAGTTTCTACTATAACATTGAGATGATTAGGCAAATATGGAAAGAGAAACCAATCCCTAGTAGAGTTGCCATAAATCTATGGGCTCTAAAAATTTGGCCCTGGTCTCTACCCGTTGTGCTTTTTCTTTTTTGGGGGAGTATTAACAGAATTAAGTTCTGGGGTAAATTTTGGAAGGTAAATGAGTTTGTAGATAAGACACTGCTAAGAGATTTTGCCCTTATTTTTCAAGGACTTTATGATCTGAGTTCTGATTTCCTATAGGTGCAAGCCCCTATAGTTAATTACCCCTCTTAATAACGAGAGAGAACTTTCGATTAAGGCTAGTCATCAATCAGATATGTAGAGAATACATGTTATATGACATATAGTAGCAGCATGAGTTTGGATTTAGGAATTTTGAAAATTGATATTTAAAATAGAAATTTCACCATCTTCCACTTAAAGTGGATGGTGGTGGAATAGATGATGGACTCGATCAAGATCCCGTGGTTTTATCATCCCTGGCCATCATTCCTAGTCTACTTAGTTAGAGGAGGTAGTCAACCCAACCTAATAAAATGATACTTATAGACATCCATGGGTTACTTTGTCTAAGAGTACCTTGTAGACCTGGGGTAGATGTTCATTTAAGGGAATAAATTTGAATCCACCTTAGTTAACATAGGGCTTTATGCCCTATCGATCATATCATATTGATTTAAATCTTAAGTATTTGATTCAACTAATGAATGTATTGTTTCTACCATAACTGGAATTTTGTGGTGCCATTTGGCAGCAAAACTACTCAGTTTAGAGGGCCACAGGTCATAATCGTTTATCCTGCAGTGCTATTTGTTGACAAAACTGCAGTTAAATGACACGTACCATATTCTTATTAGAAAGAGATTGTTTGAGAATGGATTCTAGTGATATTTTCAACTAGGCATTAGCTCTATGTGAGCTGAAGTAAATTTTACTTTATTCACCCCTGATAAACTATTGTGGGAGGTGGATAGATTTTGGTTTAAGTGTTGATGAATTTACTTCAATTTTAAATATTTTTGAATTTTGGGTTTTTTTTTTAATTTCTATGGAGTTTTGATAAACATTTGAGAATTTGGAAGACATTTGAAAGTATTTATGAATTAATCCCTCCAGTTGAGATCTACGTTCAACACAGCCATCATCAAGGTGTTTAGGGTTACTTCCATTGACTAAATATTATCGACTCTATCAAATTTCTAATAGGAGATCACGTTATAAGCTTCGGATCTTTATTGGTGAGTTTTCTTTATTGAAGGTCTTGAAGGCCTAATACGAATATATAAAATAAATATCCCGGTTGACCTCATAACTATATATTTATTTAATAGTTAAAGCCGTATTGACTCCTATCTACCTGCACAGGAGGATGGTCTCGAACAGAGATTCATTTATTGACCCACGCAGCATCCCTATATATCACCTGTGTACAATTAACATGTTCACCGGGACCCATACGGGTGTATAATTTTCTTGATGAATCTTTCTTATAAAGGGTCTTGAAGGCCTCATATAAATGTATAAAATAAATATCCCATTCGATCTCGTGATCACATATTTATTTAATGTTTTGAACTGTGTCGAGAAGGATCGGGTTCGAACTTAGATTCATTATTTAGCCCGCGCAACATCCCAAAACATTACGTATATATCCAAAACACACTCATTAGGGTCTATGCGGATGTTTAGGTGCATTTTATATTTATTTGTTAAATTTTATCGACTACTATTTACTTGCATAGGAGGACTGGGTTAAAATTTATTAACTCGCGTAGCATCCTTAGATGTCACGTATGTTCCTAGAACACACTCATCGGGGACCATGCGGGTTTATGATTACACTTATCCCTTTGTATACCTATGTGTATACAAATTATGATGCATATATCGGGGAATCTTGAGATATTTTTAGTTATGTAGGTAACTGCCATTTAAATACACACAATATTTCATTTGAGAGCTTATATATGCCTTCTATCCGTTAATACGAGTATTGTGGATCCGGTTGCGGTATTATCTTTATATTATAAGACATCTCATCTTCTTGATGTTGACTCCCCTTTCTCGTTCACCGGTAGATCCTTCTTGAAATTCGTGACCGCTGTTTTGAAAAGAACTCATTTTAATATCTTCAGTGTAGAAGACCTCCACATAGTTGACATTCAAAATGAATAGATGTATCTAGGTGCACTTATTATTTCCAGTGTTCATGGATGTTAAAACTATTTCCTTCCCAAGTTTAGAACCACGAAGAAATTTTGGAACACCAAGAAGTTTAGTTTGAATTTGTTTAAAAATCTCTTGCATTATGCTGGGAGGTGTCCTTCCCCATACATTGAGTTGTATTCGTACCCGACATAGTCACAAATCTCAATCACCATTGTTGTAGCTGATATATGGACTTGTGTCCACAAGGGTTTGTTGTACTTATGATATACCAACTAATGTTATCCACAAGCGGTTCGTGTTTATTTACAAGGACCCATTATTCACTATGACATTTATGAAGTGTTTGTAGAAGAGCCATTGTTCCTACATCATATCCACCTTTCATCAATCTCAGGTAATTTGATATACTTGCTTGCAAGGACAGGTCTTCTACTATCAATTGAGAGTGTTTCCATCTTCAGTTAACAAATGAATTATTGTTTGTATTGAGGTTTTCAATAATGAATATATATATATATATATATGCATTCTGCAACCATCTGTTGTCCTTGCAAGTATGGTGTATTTGACGTCATGGGGACTCGTATGTGCTTCAAATGTGTTGCATTGTGTATGCATGTAAGAAGCTTTGTTGCTTTGGTTGCATATTCTAAATCACTTGGGTTTCCTTAAACATCTTTCGCACGCATTTAGATTTTATCTCCCACTTGCAACTTGTTGTTCATTTGGATGACTATGCATTTAGACTTTGATTTGTTCATTTATCCAAAGCCTCGTCCTGTGTATAATTCATGTTAAAGTATCTTGCGATTGGACCCGAGTTCAAGTCATTTGTTATTTGCATTCGAATTTTAGCAGCCTCCCAAGTGATTTAAAGGAAAAACAAAGAGGCAACCTCCCATCCATGCTACATGAGCACTTCAGGTAGATGTCTGGCGACACCGCGATTACATTTTCTTCAATCCCTAAGGCGCTTCATGAGCGCTTAGGGGGTCTTTGACCCCTGTTGAAAAGAGCAAAGGGAATTTTTCACGTATGGGTACTTAATTTTGTTCCCTTCATGCTACATGAGCAGTCTGAGGATTACCAACCCGTTGCAAGCATCGCACCGGTTTTTCTCCCTACTACGTCACGTGAGCGCGTAGGGGGTTTGCCGGCTCGTCGCAAGCATCAACAGTAGGATTTTTTTGAGTTAGAAAATTTATACCTTTGCGCCTGACTACAATGGTGATGACGGCGAAGTGCAAAACTACCCAAAACTCCTTTTTTTTCCTCTCTTTTTTGTCTCTTTTTTTAATACATACAAACAAACAAACACACACACACACACATATATATATATATATAACCTCGGAAGAGGGAGGTCAGGTCTGCAAATGGGAAGGAGTTTGGAAGTAGGGAGAAAGTAGCGAATGGGGAAGAGCGATGGGAGTTTGAGGGCTTCGTTCGTGTGGAGTAACCGGAATGGATCAGGCTTCCTCTCCCTTTTATTAACGCAGTTGGGAGTAGGATCGAGGCAGTCGTCGCAGGATTCATGGGGAAGAGACCGATTCGGCACTGCTGCACAGTGCCTCGGCGGAACTTCGGCAGGATTCGCGGGATCCAGGCAGCAGAGGTATGTCGTGTATTTCTTCTCATTTTTTTTATTTCTTTTGGCCATAATCCAGAGGTCAACACGTTGTATGTAGAAATTATATCAGGCTTCATTTGGGGTAGCTATCTTAATGTTTTATAAAGTAAATTTTTAGTATAAAAATTTTTTATTTAAATAATTTTTCTTAAAAAAAACTATTTTCAATGACATAAAAAAGCTGTCCCAATTGAAGTTTAAACCTTAGTGACAGCTTAATAATCTGATCTTATATCAAAACATTTGCTAATCATTATTTATTTGTCAAAATAATGGACTGAAAAAAGAACAAACTTATTCAAACCATCTATATCAACTTAAAGCTTTATCACAAAAACAGAATTTATGTTTGCGAAATTATATCAGACTTCTCAAGAGAAAGAGAGAAATATATAGTAGATAAACAGAATGATCAAGTAGCTATACTTGAACAATCAGATGCAGCTTTTGCTATTAATTTTATTCTGTGAAACTTCTTTCCATTTGTTTTAGTAGCAAGCATTTGAAAATTGTAGACTTCAGCAGTAAAGATGAAAGCATTGCCAAAGCTAAATTTCATTTTTTTTTCTTGCATATGCTAATATGTTACTTTGGTCTTCAGCATCTGTGTCCCTGAAATTATATCCTCCCAAAAAAGATCCGAGATTGCTCGAGTCACTTCTCCGATATTTCCTGTAATATTATTAAAATTGAAACAAAAACAATGTAATTCAAATGAAATTTCAGATTCACCAGAAAAGAAAAGATAGTTGTTTACCATCTCCAATGGGTTTTCCATCCCAATCAACCACAGGCATTATTGGAATTAAGCTACTGACAAACATCATCTCAGCTGAACCCTTTGCCTCTTCAACAGATATATCTCTTGTGCGCACACTCTTCAGAATTCCTTTTCCAATCAGTTTATTTGCGAGAATGAGCAGCCTCTTAGAAGTGCAACCAAACAAAATCTTTTCTGGTCTAGGAAGTAGAAGTTCTCTTTCTTTGCTTACAAATGCAATATTACAGTTAGGACCTTCCGCCACATAGCCTTGGTCATCTACCCAGATTGAGGAATAGGCACCCTTTTCCTCGGCCTCCATTTTAGAAAGAACATTAGGAAGGTAATTTACTGTCTTTATTGTTGCAAATTTTGGAGGCTTTGTTGGAATTGTTGTTGTTATGACCTTAACACCTTCCAATATTCGGCTAAACTCTTTGGCTATGGCTACTGAGTAGAATGTGGGCGTTGAATTTCTTGGCGGCGATACTAAAAAATCACCTGGTCCAGAACTTAGCCAGTAGCGAATGGAGCCGGTCTTGAGCTTTGACGCAACTGCAAGAAAGAGAAGAATTTCTTTGATAGTTTCACGAGGGTACGGTGGGGATATTTTTGCTGCTGAAGCAGATTTGAGGAATCGGTCTAAATGTGAATCCATGTCATACAAGCATCTGCACTAGTCCAGAATAACGATCATAAGTAATGTTTCTGAGCAATTAATTATTTAATTCGATGCATGTGTTATTTTAGATTTATTTTAATTTCTGATTATAAGAACCGAAGCTTCATTTTTGAAACTTGTTCGGATTAGTTGAGATTTAGAAGCTGATTTCCTTGGATTAACTTTTTTTTTTCATGGAGATTACTACATTTAAATTGATAAACTGTAATTGTTATGATTAAGATATTATGGAATGGAAAACAGACGAGGATGTTGAAATTCCTATTTATGAACTTGGTGTTGCTCTTAATGAAATCTGTGATAGAGAAACAAAGACATTTTTGTCATTGATTCTCCCAATGGACAAGCAAGCACATGCTTCACAAAACAAGATCAATGAACAGGCGGACTAACAATATTTAAGCACGATATGTATCTGTACGCTTAGAGTCAAAAGCATGATCATCAAATGTTTATTATCAATGCTCAATTACCCATTCATGAGAAGCGCTGTGTCAAACACTCCATGTCCTCTATGGACCATGTGATCATCTATTGGAATGACCATTAGAGTCGGATCAAGAATGATTCCACCAATCAAGCTGGAATACATTGCTCGGTATGGATGCTCGTCCACTGATTTATTAGGCAATTTTCCTCTCATCTTCTCGATTACCTGCAACAATTAAAGATCTGTAGATTACAAGGATAATAACACGACAGACACCTTAACGTTGATTGATACATGAACCATCATCTGCAACATATTTGTTGCATTAGAACCGGAGACAGAGCTGCTGCACGTTCACTATGTTGCCAGCTACATTATCATAAATCAATTTTAGTGAAAATTGAAAATTATTACTTTATTCCGCTTTGCTCAAAAGCAATGGAAGTAATAAGAATTTAATTCAAAACACTAAACCCAAATTGTACGTGAAAATTTTTAGGGAAAGCTTGAAAGTAAAGAACTAAAATGCAATTTGAATTTTTACGTGTGTCCTATTAAGAATACTTTTTATCCGTTGTGCCCTATTGATAATCAAAATCTTATAGTAATCATTATTAAAAAAAAAATTACAATTAAGGAGCTTAGCCATTATGTTTAAAATTCATCTTTTCCGCTGAAACAATATCAGAGATAGCAGAATCTTAGCATTATTTAATCAAACAAAAAAAAATTTTTGGTGAACCTCAGAAGCTGAATAGACGGGAATACAAACTTCAGTCGGCCATTTCTCATGCCCTGCAGCGAAACCAAGCACATTATTTTGTTTAGAAGAGTACTTGGAAGATCCATTTAATGGAGACAAGCTAGGAAGTGGCGAAAAAGCTGGAGGAGAGGAAAAGGATGGAGAAGAGGAGGAGGAAGGTGAAGATGTCTGGAGAGTGGGAGGTAGGGTTGGCTGACCGGGAAGAGCCATAGCAACGTAATTGGGGAAGGAAGTTAGTAAAAATAAGAAGGGATTGTGAAACAGATGGGAATATATTTTGTTGTATCAGCGTTGCTTGTTGATGTTTTAATTGGCATCGTTGATCTTATTTTTAAGGCAGAAAACATTGGGAAGAGGACATGGTATCATTTTGAATTTTCTTCGTACAATAAAGATGCTGCTCTAAGCTTAGTTTATAATTTACTTCCATTCGTATTTTGCATAACATTATTTTTTTCGAAAAAAGGAACTAAATCCTGTAATTTTTTATAGGCTAATAAAATTAAAATTTTTTTGGATAAAAAACGTTCAAGGTACAATTTTGATACACACATTTTAGTTTGGCCATCAAAGCCAAGTCATTGTAGACAAAGACAATTTACACTAAAGAAAAAACATTAGCTTTCCGGTAGAAAAAATTGTTGGGTAATCAATAAAATCCGTTGGCAATTAACTTTTCTAGTGGATTTTATTCCAACCGTGAAAATTCCGTCGAAAAAGTTTTCGATTAGCCAATTTTTTTTTTCAATGAATTCCCAATGAAAAATGCACAGGCATCGCCAACCAAATAAATATGATCAGGATTTGCTGATAGCGGATCGTGCCTATAGTAAATGTTTGCTGGGTGGCAAACATTGTGGCGGAAAATTAAAAAATAGAAAAATAAAAAAAAGCAAGTGAATGCCATGCTATGAAGCTTAAATTTTAAGAAGTTTAATTAGAAATATTTTAAAAGAAGTTTCACTAAAAAAAAAATATCAAATATCTTAAATATTTTACGTTTTTTTCAAAAAATAAAAAATAAAAAATCATTTCACGTTTTGTAAGAAACGTGAATTGATTTCACATTTTGCAAAGAAATTTAAAAAAAAAAGTTAAATTACATAAATATATTACAAAAATAATTTTATTTTACAATAAAGTTGATGTGGGTTAGCAGATTTGTAAGTCTCAAGGCTCTTATTTGACCGATGCTGGGTTCAAAACCTACAATATGCGATCTTTAAAAATTAGAAGGAAATTTAATTTTTTTTATGTTTCTTTAAAAAAAAAACATAAACTTAATAAAATATTAATTTGTATTTAAACTTTATATATATATATATATATATATATATATATATATATAATAATAAAAAAAAGAGTTATAAGAATCATTTAATATTTTAAGTTAGAAATATATATAGAATTTAACATAATTAATTATATATAATATTTTAATAATGTTTAATGTTTTAATTAAAATTAAAAGTTATTTATTTTAAATTAACTTTATGTAAATAAAATAATTATTTCACATAATTGAACTTAGAATTTATACATATAAAAGATTTATCTAAATATATTTAATGAGTGCAAACCTAGTTATTTTAATTAAATTTATGTGCAATGAATTATTCTATAAATTTAGATTTAATTATAAATATAAATGTTTTTTCCAATAAGAAATCTTTCATATATTAAAATTTTTGTTAATTAAAAAAAATTAATTTTTCTCTATACATAGTAGATTTAAGAAAATCTTCAGTTATATTCTTAGATTATGTAATTGGTTTAATAATATCATTTTAATTATGTGTATTTTTTAGTATTTAGAAAAATTATGCAAAACTATTAAATAAGAATATTACTTAAAAATTAATTTTTTATTAATATTATTGATATATCATTAAAAAATTACCTTGACCAGGCACGAATCTCGAGGCAAAGTTGAATTAAGAACTTCACAAATTAATCTCGTGAGCATCCAAATTATGATATTATCAAAATTATAGTTGAATAGCACATCTCAAAAAGATAAACCCAACGACACAAAATTTGATTCAACCTTAACCCAAATGGGTCTAAATCGAGGGTCTTAAGCACATTTTGAACTTTAAAGAATAAGTTGGATGACCAAATGATTTTCAAATGTGACATGCTTATAGTAGAATTAAGCGGCTCAATGAGATGAATCTAATGAGCCCAGTAGCTCTGAATTCTAATTTTATTAAGACACTTAAATCCATGATAAATGGTTTGTGATGAAGGAAATCAATATCTGCCTTCTACCTGAAATACTCCCAACCTACCATTGATCATCTCACAATTTAATAGCATGCTACTCTCAAAAAATTATAAATAGACCCACAATTCTTCATAAGAGGAAGGATGTATAAGAAGAGCAAGAAAGGAGATATCTCTTTTCATAAAGCTCCTCCTCGATCACAATCGGACCACAGTCAAACCACCATCCATCATCGAACTTCTGCTTAACCACCGACCATTGTTATACTTTTGTCCGGCCATTGATTGTCGTTGAATATCCACCTGGACACTGACCAACACAAGACCTCTGCCTGGACACTGGTCAATGCCAGACTTCGACCCAACTCGGTCTATTATTATAATTTCACAGTTTTTGAATTAAAGGATGGAGCAAGCTTTGTGACCAAGTAAAATAATAGTGGACTCATTTAAACTAGGCCAAGCCCCACAACTTTCCCTCTTTTTAGGTGTTTCCACGTAAAACTCATATGTTTTTTATTTCACTATTTGTTTGCTGGATATCTGAATAATGCTAAGACAAAAAATTTTCTCACTCTACTGTAGTGTATACTTTAACCTGCAATAGTTTGGTACCATATGTGTGAAACTAATTCCACTATCCTAAACATTTATTCAATGGTCAACAGGTGTAGCAATCGTAACCTTTCTAAGAACCAAAGACACTAGGTGTTCACCTCTCTTTACCCCTGTGGACGGAACCCTATTGAGGAAGGAAAATTAGGAAAATCCCTAAAAGATCACATCCAAAAAAAGAAGATATCTCATAAAGAGATCCTACTAGTTCTATGAGACACCTAACAACCAATGCTAGCACAACAAGAGGAGATTCTTCTCTCTTAAGCAATGGGTCATCCTAGTACTTAGTAGGACATAAACCATGTTAACAATACTAGCTCTACCCATCTTTCTTACTTAACCAGCTAGTGGACATTCCTCCAAACATCCCCAAGGACTTCTCGAGCTCTCATTTTTTAGCTTCCATGCAATGCCCTACATCATGAATTGTGATAATTTGTTAGACAAGAGATCCCTATGAGAGGTGGAAGGAATCCTCTTCATCATTTGGACTTTCAGGAGTTATCACCACTCATTGAAGCCATCCTTCAACTGCCCATTCCAGTAGGATTCAAAGTATTGAGCATTGTTTCATACGGCGGGATATCCGACCCCTATGAGAAATTCGATCACAACTAAGCCATTATGAATTTCTAATAAGCCTTAAATGTGCTCCTCTGCCATGTTTTTCCTATCACCTTCAAAATGTAAGCTCAAAATGATTCTATTTGCTTCGAGAATGAACCATTCCCATATTTTTAAAATTAGTGGAGCTATTCCTTAAACAATTTATTACCAATCAATGAATCGTTAAAGATTTTTCCCACCATTAAGGAATTTGCCATAGTGAAAGTAAGTCTCTTAAAGAGTATTTTCAAAAAATTTCTATTTATCCTGGATAAATTTTAGGGGTGGATCCTAAATTTCTTAGAGGAGTTTTTTTCTTGGATGGTTTCATTCAGGCCCCCTTTTACTCAGTACTTATGCGAGACAGTTCATTTATACGTTAACTAGATCCTTCATATGTAGGAACAAACATCAATAAATGAAGCAAACTAATGGGAAGCACATAAGTGCACCAAGGAAGTATAATTCTTCCTCTCAGTAAAAGAATAATGAAAATTACAAATTACACCCTCATCCCTCACAAGCGCGATGTGAGTCTCTACAAGAAAAGGAGTATATAACAATTAACATATCTCAGGAAAATATGTTGATTGCTATCCTATATTAGGAGAATGTGAAGTGGTCGAATCACTTAAAGCTAAACATCATAAATCAGGAGTATTACTGCCACTTCCACTATAGTTGTGGACACATTACTGAAGTATATAGACAATTCAAAGATGAAATTGAGAGATTGATCTAACAAGGATATCTCCAATAATTCATTTGAAACTTATATGCTTGAGATAAGAATAGTCCCACTAGGGGGAAAAGTTAACAACAACAAAGATAACCATTGAATAATAATCAAATGGTTTGTGAGATTTAAACCATTATTGAGGGCACGTTATTATCCAGTCAAGTCTTGATTATAGCAATCAATGAAATGACACCAAAGAAGTCTTTCACTGGCTACTCTATTAATTTAGAAGACTCATATTTAGAGGGACTAAAGACCCCTCATTAAGATCCACTCTTAATTAATATTGGTATTGGCAACCCATATTATAATAATATGAGAATTTTTATCAATAATGGGTGCATAGTGGATGCCCTATTTTACTCCTCATTTTTTTAATATTGTCCTATATGGAGAGAAACTCTAGCACATGATAGGTTTACTATATGAACCTGATAATGAACCTGTATAACTGGAAGGAACAATTAGCCTTCTAATCATATGTAGAGAATTTCCCGGACATGCTACTCTCTCATTCCAATTCATTATAGTAAACTCAATATAAGGCTATAACACTAGCTTTAGAAGACCACTACAGTTGATATTTTGGATATCGCTTCCATCCCTCATCTCAAATAGAAGATTCTTACTGTAGTGGTATTGGTATAGTATGTGTAGATTAATAAGTAACATAATCTTACTATATTAGGCTAGCTCAATCATGTTGATTAGTTACCATAAGATCATGAACTTCTTTCTCCAAAACAAGGATATTCATCAAAGGTCATCCCTTTTGGAGGACCTCACTTGTATCTCTCTATCAGATGAGCACCCTTTGAGAATAATACAGATTGGATCATTGCTCTTAGAGGAAGAGAAGAAAAAGCATATGGATTTTCTACGTATACATTAAGATATTTTTTATGGAGTCCAACTTATATGCCTAGAATCTACCATAAAGTAATCATGTAGTTCCTAAAAGTAAAACCAATTTGCATGCTAATTATCCAAAAGAAACTAAATTTTGTACGAGATTGCCTACAAAAAATCGAGGTGGAGATTAATAAACTCTTAGAGGCAGGGTTTAAATGGGATGTGCACTATCCTACATGGTTAGAAAATTTCATAGTTGCAAATCAGTAATCAATATTGTGATTATGATTTTTAATGATAACAAAATATTATTATTATGATATTATTATTTTTCTCTTAATATATATTGTATAATTCTGGTTATTTCTATGAGCACTAACAT